AAAAAAAATCCATAGTTTAGACGCTAGTGTTGTTCACATACACCCGACAGACGGATGGACGGACGAATGTTTTGCCGTCTATCGATTTTTCGGTATCAAGGGCCCACAAAACAGGATTTGTGTCTACACCATAGGTTAGAGAATTTTTTTCCTTAATTTAGAAACTGGATTTATCCACTTTTTCGTTATCAGAGCACGGCCATGATTTTTTTTCTGTCGAAAATTTGCTGTTTTTTCTCGAAGCATTACATAGTTTCCTTTATACTACGTAGATTAGTCCGTATATACGAATGTATACGAGAAAGTAAAAATTTAGAGCCGTTTTTGAGAAAATCTGTATTAGTAATTTTTCAAAATTGTAAATATGGAACGAAAACTACTAAAAGTTTCAAAAAAATGTATATGTTCTTAATGAAAGAACTAATAATGGACAACGAATTTCATTTAAAGGAAAAATATGTATTCAATTTTGTAGGAAGACGCCAAAAAATGGATACTTTTAAAGTTTAGAAAATCAGAGTTAACAGTGAAAATGCCGGACCTATGCTACCTTTGTAAGTGTGTTTTACTCTATTCTTACAAGAAATTTAAAGAAAAAATTGGAACGGTTTTTTCGAAAATTTTGAAAACGTCCGTGAGGCTTCATGTGAAGTACCCCCAAAAGTAAATGAAGGTTTTTCAAAATTGCAGAGCTTCAATGCAGGCCAAATGGACAGAGAGTTACTCAGTTTGGAAAACGCCTGTTATACGCCTAGTGTAGGCGCTAACGTCATACACCAGACGGACGGACGTTTTGCCCTCAATGGATTTTTCGGTGTTATGGACCCACAAAACAGGGATTCTGTCTACACCACGTGTTAGAGAATTTTTTCTTAAGGCTAAATGTCCCGACACTAGGACAATTTGAAGCCACCACGTGGCAGCACCAAAATAAGTAAAATTTACTGTACTGATAACGTCTGAACCAATGGTCCGATTTTCGATCTGTAAACGGCATTTGACGCCTTTTTTAAATAGAATTTACGCTATGAAGCCCTTTTTCCACAAGTCTAGCAAAAATTCGAATTTGAAATTAGTTCTCAAACTTCCGAGAAAAAATTAAAAAATGTGGGCTTATAGCGCGATGGCGACATGCTTCCTGAATCCAACGCCGTGACAATCATGCAAATCGGACGAATGGGAGCGTCGTAAAGTGAAATTTAGGATAACACCTCGCCCCCTTCCTTCCCCTTCTGCGCCGTTGCGTCACCCACCCGATTGTTGTGGGCCCTCTGTCGGCACGGCCAGGCCCGGCGACGTTGCGGCCAGCCCCGGCAGAGCAGGTGAGACTAGCGGGACAGGCAAGCCAGACAGTCGGTTTATGCTTTCGTCACTTTGCATCTCAATCTATTTTTCCACAGATATCAAACTAGAGATGCTATACTACTATTACACACCGAGGTAAACGGTCTGTAATAGTAGTACATAACTATCTTTTTCACATATTTCCGTCTTTCTTCGAAAACGATCTTAAAATTGTTGGAGGCATTAAACAAAATATCGATTCCGATTTGGAACTGTTTTTTAAAACAAGGAACTAATTCTGTAAATATCACCATTATTCCACCTCCTCACATCTTAATTTAGATATATTTTACTTCTAAAGTGTTCTGTTATCATTCCACCTTGCTCTAAGATCAAATTCCGGAAAGAATGAGCGGAGTATACGCACGAGCTCTTTTATCCTACAACTCGGTTTTTGATCTCAAAACGATGTTTACCTGCTTTAAAAGGTTCATCTGCTGAATCCTTAAATAATAAACAATATAATAACAAATACATTTATTATTTACAAAAATATATGTATACAACAATACATATATGTGACAAAAACGCAATATTGCTCTTTAAAAAAAAATTACCAAAATGTAATATTTTTATATCTCTCTTTCTTCCCCTTCTTGCATTTACGAGTTTTTTCCGCTCCAATTTTTTTCTTCAAAATTTTCGAACTGACAGTGCTAATTGCCCTATTTAAGATGACGTAAAATTCATTTTGATGTATTGTTTTATTTCTACAAAAATTAAACATATTTTTTAAATATCTCTCACGCCGTTAATATTTGCACATTTCCAGCTATATGTTGAATTTACGAGTTAAAGTTCAAATTAAGTTTTTAAAAAACTCAGTAGTTTTCTGTGAAAAATAACTTCAAATTTCACATTTCCAGTAACGCTTACGTGCAATATTCTGAAAACGGCTCCAAATTTTTCAATGAAAATTGTCATTTAGGATGAGGGTTTACTTTTAATATGCTTAAAATAATTTTTCGGTTCTATCATTAGGAATCTAAAATGTTGAGAACATAAAAAAAAAAAAAAAAAAAAAAAAAAAAAAAAAAAAAAAAAAAAAAAAAAAGCAGCCAGAGCTGACAGCTGGCAAGAGTATGTAGCAAGTCTGAATAACAAGTCCCGACCAAAGGAAATGGAAAACTAATACGTGAGTCTGTGCCATTCTGTTGCTCCACTAGTTTCCAATTCTAATATGGGTATATTTAAACAATGCTAGTTAGTATGCTCAGGTGTAACATAAAAATAGAACAGTTAATTTAAATAAAACATGATACCAATAGGCTACAATAATATAATAATATAATGGCTATGTGCATGGTGCCGAGCAACTCAAAACAGGCCAACTATCCCACATCTGTTTGTGACGAAAACCTACTTAGCAGTTATGCAGTTTTTACAAACCTACAGATGCAGCGCAGCTTTGTGACCCAGAGAAACCCGCGAGATAATAAAAGATTCTGAAAATTGACGGACAGCCCGCTATCATGGGATGAGTAAAGGAATTTACAGATTGAAGAGATACTGAAAATCACGAGGATTTACAACAACCTCAAACAAAATTGTTCATCACAAATAATCAAGCGTGGGGTCCAAATTATCTCGCATGACCAATTCCGAATACCTATTTGCTATTTATTTGTTAACATTAATTATTGTCTCTATTGAACTAAATTCATTATGTAATATAGGTCTACCAATGTATAAAATGTTATTGTCCTAAAATTTTAAAACTGTCTTTTCCAAAAATTTTATTGAATATAAGAATGGATTACATATTGGTTGTGATAAAGAGTCAGATAATGCTTAAAGTTTGAGTTATGTAATAATGAATTGTGACATACCAGAAATCCCCCAATATAGGGAAATTGCATCGAACGTATATTTACTTCATAATTGGATGCATACAAAAAGTGTAGATCAAGTAATACACATCGTCAGAAGAACGTGTTAACAGAATTCATGTTCCATGCTCGAGGGTCTGAACGCGATATTCGTGAGCGAAACATGGCTCCGGGAAATTATGTTGAATAGTAAACAAGACGGCGCGTGTTGAAAATCGAGGTCCCCCTATTATTTAGAAGGGGCCAGTCTCTCTCTTGGCAGCAATCGAAGTGGACGGAAATAATTTTGCAAACTAAGGGCAGGTTGCATAAAGCTTTCCATATGGGTTCCATAGCAATGGACCACAATAAAATTTATAGGTTCCATAGACCGTGCACTGTTACATAAAGCAAATGTATGGAATCTATAACAATGAATTCTATAAGAACTTCGAGATGCAACCAATATCAACACAGTATTGGAATACTACTTACTCCAGCGCTTTGCATGTTCTTAGCGTGTGTTGCGTTCTATTGTGACCTTCACGGCCGTCTTACCTTACCCACCGGCTAGCTGAGATGGTAGTGGATCACCTGCAATTAAGTGAGATGGATGGACGTCGTTGTTTACGAATGAAAGAAGTTAATTGAATGAGGTAAAAATTTAATGTTCAACTCAAATGAACTAATAATGAACTCAAAATAAAACAATCATGGCAAGAAGTGAGTTTCTACCTGAGCTCAGTTTCTCCCAAAACAAACTTATCGCAATTAAAATCTAATACACTGGAAAATGTTAAGGCTACTCTTACGGGAAATTGGTTTGCCATTAGAATTTTAGTTGCCATTAGTTGTTTTGGATCAACCGATACCTCAATTTTCTTTGGTACTTCTGTTTAAGACTGCCCATCATTAGCTGTTAATGTGATGGCTTGATTGTTAGGTCTTCTTTTTCTCGCTTTGATATTTGGTTATCTTCTTTGGACCAACTTTCCTTCTTACTTGCTTTTTTCCTGTATGTCTGGAGATTTCAACCAAACCTTATTAGAGTTTTGTTTCTCCATACCATCATCTAATTCGACGACTTGTATATGTTTGTCTTTCTTGCCGGGTCTATTGTCTTCTGGAGGACTTGGAACTTGTCTTTTCTTGTTTTGAGCATGTTGATCTTGGAGCTATATTCGAAGCCCTTCGGTCTTCTCAATGCTCTCCTTACCACGCCTCATATTCTCGGCTTGTTTGTCACGTTTCCCTAGGAGAATCAATTTATCGTGCATCCACTTTAGTTCCTCTTCAATGTCACCATCTTCTTTTGTAAACCCATCCACTTCTTCTTGTGCTGTGGCCAGTCTTCTTCACTATCATTGGGTTATTTTTTTAACATATTCTGTCAATTACGGCTAGTTGAGCTTGCAGACGGTCTATAATCTCCTTATATTGTTTCGCCAGCTTTGGGGTAATTTCCCATCTTCTAACACCCAGTCCACCGCGTTCCTTTTCCTTCGGGCATGAGCTCTTCTTGATCCGAGGATGCCTTTACTCCTTTAGGTACTCCGGGTGTGGAGGGGGTTTACATGGGGTTATCTTTGCAGTTTCGGCCTTCCAACAAAGGGGTCAAATGCATATTATTATTATTATTATTATTATTATTATTATTATTATTATTATTATTATTATTATTATTATATTTTTGAGGGTGAATATCCTTTATGGATACCAGTGAAGCTGGTGATATCGAATCCCAACTGGGTTACGGACACCTAACCTCCGTGTCTTAAGCCGTATTTCCTCCTACGCGGAAACCGTCGTTAGACACTACTTCACGTAGGAGCTTGGCTGGTAGCAGATGCTCTACTTTCTCAGTCTTAACTCTTTCTTCTTCATAATACTAATTATGAAGTTTTCTATTGTTTTCCATTTTTGTACAATTGTTTTCCATTTCTATTGTTTTCCTGCGAACTCAGAATCACGTCGACCATGTAACTGGGTTTATATCTTGTTGGACATTACAAACCTCTCGTTCCGCGTCCCATGCCTTGCACTGGAATAATGTGGGTTCTGCATCATCTATATCTGCGTGCCAGAGACTACATGTGGGAGTTTCTACGACCCTGAAATCGTAGAGGTATTTATTGAATCCTAAATGTCCCGTAAGAGACTGGGACAGGCAATAACCCACCTCCCCGATATCTTCGGCTGACCCATCTCTCGATGTTACCAATCAACCGATGAATCCATCTGCCTTTCACATCCCCATCCCATCTTCCTTGACATTCTTCAAGGAGCACATTCCTTGCCTCCGCTTTGATGGACTCAATTTGCTTCGGAGGGAAATGACTGTCTGTTTGTTGTGTTTTCTTCAAGGCGAGGTACGCCCTCTTTCTTTCCATGGCTATTAGGTCGACAGGTGGTATACTCGCCAACACCAGCACTGCGCAAACAGATACTCTGCGATAGACAGGCGCCACCCTCAAGGCGTCTTTGTACTTGGGCGTACTTGTGTCTGATAGACTGCTTCTCCAGCGAACACTCCCAGACTGGAGCAGCAAACAACAACTGTGAGTGAACTATGCCACATATCATTCCTCTCTTGGCTTCTCCCGCTCCACCGACGTTTGGTAGCATTCTTGCGATGTTATCTCCTGTCCTCGCCGCCTTTTCTGCCATCACATTTATGTGGGGCCCGTAGCTGAGTCTATGGTATATTTCGACTCCTAAACGTCTTATCTGGCGCTTCCAGTTGATTCTCTTCCTTCCCAATCGGGGGGAAAAGAAGGGCCCTCTGGTTGATGATTAAGACAGCTTCGGTATTTTGCACTGCCATCTGTAGCTGTCTTCTAACCATCTTTTAACCCTAAAGAGCGCTTCGTTCACTCTCAATTCGAGAAGTTTAATGTCGTCTCTGTGGCTTATTATTAGCGTGTCATCAGCATAGCCTATGAACTGCGTATTTCTCGGAAGGTCAATGCTTAGAAATTCATCATAGAGGACATTCCATAAAAATGGCCCAAGTCTGTACCCTTGAGGATACTGCATGTCACATTTTCTTCTATCCTGATACTGTCCACATAAGTTATCGTCTTTTCATGAAGGTAGTCTTCAATCAACCATAAGAGATATTAATAATCCTTATTAGGAATCATCTTGTTAACTAACACTACTATAATGTTCATCCTCCTGTCGGAGTTGAAGTCGTTTCTGTCAATTGCCACGAGTGCGCAGAATCCCTTCTTGCCGACTCCTCTTCTGGCTGCGTTTGCTTTATCGATTACTTCCAGGATGGCATCCGTCGTCGAGCGGCCTCTCAAGAATCTATATTGCATGTGGGAAAAGCATATGAGCCCCTTAAGCATAGAAAGTATTAAACCCTCAAGCAGCTTGCCCATGGTATCTAGGAAGCACAGTTGTCTGTATGACGACGTCTGATTTACCGGCTTGTTGACTTTTCGGAGGAGTATCAGCTTTTGTCTCTTCAACGTCTTAAATAATTTCCCGTCCTCAAGGCAGCGATTATAGATTGACAAAAGGCATTCCGGATACTCTTGTGGTACCATTTTTAGTATTTCACAGGGAACTGCATCGAAACCTGGGGCCTTCCCAGTTTTCATGCTTTTCGCCGCTCTCCTGGTCCATCGTGAAGTAGTCTGCTGCGTCAACCGTGAAGTCGCTCTGTCTTTGTCTCGTCCAGGGATCTCTAGTTGGAAAGAGGTCCCTAAAAGCTTTCTTCATCCATTGTGGATCATTCAATCCAGGTATTTTCCAGTCCATCCTGAATTTCTTATTTACTATTTTATTAGCCATGCCCCATGGGTAGTTATCGATCTGTTCTAGGAGCACCTTCCAGCATCTGCCTTTACGTCTTTTTATTTCTCTCTTAAGCCGTTTGTACAATTCTTTATACTGTTCCCCGAGGTGCAGATTCGTCTTGGTCTTTGTAGCTATTCTTCTTGCCTTAATACAGTTCGTTCGAATGTCAGCTATTTATGGTGTAGACCAATACATTTGCTGTTTCCTCCTCGGACATATGTCTAGGCATGGATGCGTCGCAAGCTGCTACCACTATTTCCTCCTTTGCCTTAACCAAATCCTCAAGCGTTTCCGCCTCTTTCGTCCAATCCACGTTAACCCACAATCTGGATTCTTCCAAGGATCGTTTTGCCTTGTCTTCATTCAAGTTTTTGGGATTCCAAGGTTCCTTCCTTTATATCGCATATTGACGTCCTATGTACCGATGGTCACTCAGGGTTTCTTCGTCGAGCACTGACCAATCAGCGATACCTTTAGATAGCTTAGTGGAACTTATTGTCAAAGAATATATATATATAAGATATATATATCATATATATATTATATATATACTTATTATTATTATTATTATTATTATTATTTCATTATTATTATCATCATCATCATCATCATCATTATTTACTTACATCTGGGTCCCAGTTCTGACTCATGAAAGTGTTTAATATCTAAGTACGTAACATTTAGAAGCAAAATATATTTGAAAGAGGATTTATGAATAAGGGATATTAACAGTAATGCTAAACATTATTCTGCGCTCTATTATAATACTGGAATAAAATGCACCAAATTATTAAAGTATGTTATTAGCTTAGCTTAACTAAAATAATTGTTTTCTTAGTTATTATTCAATTTATTCTCAAAATACAGAAACAAGAAAACATTTTATAATATAAATTTGAAGATACTCAAATGAAAGGTCTAAATAAATTTTTTAAAACTGTTCCAGCAGTTGCGCCCCCCCCCCCTTGCCCACTCACCTGCCACCCTGCATTCTTCCATTGGATGTGGGCCTCTATAAACATTTACCAGCATTATTTATTTTTTTGCTTAAATTTTCCTCCAACTGGTTCGTAATTAGCAGCAAATAAAATATCCTCATGTTCTTTTTCTCAAACATACACAGTTGCTTCTAAAAATAATTTGTTGTGAATTTTTTATGGATGCACTACTTTGACAACACAGAGTAGGCTTCACTCTAAGAACCTCTGTGTGTCATGAGGGCACCCGAGGGGGCTCTGCGACAGGAGACAAGAGTTCAGGGACATCATTTTTATTTCTCCAATTCTATGGAATTTTAAACTTACCATTTTGTCATTTTATCTATTAAGAAGATAGTTATTGATTCCATCACATGCAGAACAGCCCTAGTCATAGTTTCACAAGATATTCTGGCATTTTTAGCTTTTTTTCCTAATTAACAGATGTGTCCAAACAACAATAGCTTATTGCTAAGCACTTGCCTGCATAATGACTAAGATTGGACTGATATGATATCAATTGGTGATTGGAAGAGTTTATGCATGGGGAATGAATTTGTATTACATCTCTCGTGTTATTTGCAGTTGACGAGACGTGCAAGCTCCAGAATAATTGAGCTTTTAAAGCAAGAAATATCTTAACCAAGGGCTAGACAAAAAGGTTCTCATGAAAATGTCATTGCTTAGCCTATGCTGATGACTAGTGACAGTAAGGCTCCAAGAAGAATGCTTGCTAACTTATCTTACCCTGTTACTTTTGTCAGCCTTAACCCTATCTCCTGTTGCCCTTACCTATCAGATTCTAAGGAAAAAACTTAGTTGTCACTAAATTTAGACAATCAGGGAGTTGAAAAAAGGGAATTTCATGCTACAATGAACAATTCTATCTGCACAATATGGTAAAAGATAAACAGGCAAAATAACAAAAGCAGTGTTCAAATTGCTGATCGGATGCTTTGGTGATAAATAGATATGGGCTCTCAAGAAGCAATAAATATTAAAAATTGTGATTTTTCCAATGTATATTTAAGATGGAAATAAGATGGAAGTAAGTAGGCAAATGATTGAATGCAACTAGCTGCAAATGGCAAGTTTTCAAGCAAGAAGTAATACAGAGCGAGACAGAATATAAAAATTTACACTCTATTGTGATATTTGGAGTTGATTTGAGGAGAAGAAAGGAGAAAATACATAAAAATGGAATGTTTGGATTTTTTGTAATCTATTTAATTTTTTTAAAAAATACACATTAAAATTTATATTTCTTGTTTGGTTTGTACATGAATGTCAAATTCATTAAGAGACTGTTCTTAATAATTAAATATGCATGTAGAGGTTTGTGATTTATTGTAAAAACAGCTGCTTAGCCAATAACAATATTGAATTCAAAACCAATATTATATGAAATATAATAAATTAAAGTTAAAGCACACTCTGATTCAGTAACACATAGGATGTAAAACAAACATAATAACAAGCTAGTCATTCATGTCAAACTCTCTTCATGACAATGAAGACTTTCTCAAAGTACATGTTCTGCTATAGATACAGCAACAGTTCGTAACTGGCAAAACATCACATTGGGCAGAAATATCTTCACCAACGAGAATTTATCTCTGCGTTCTGTACTCGGTGGTATATAAATATTTCAATACTTCCCCCTTTAAGATAAATAAAAATATCCCCTCATGTAACACTTAAGTACACAGTTTTTGGAAGTCCGACATTTGTTGCAGAATTGAATACAATGAGCTATAAAATTGACTCATGTGCCAAACTGCAATTGTTCATTGTCAAAATACACATCTCACATTACCACACCTGGCACTTGTCAATTGGGTTCATTTTACTGCCTAGGGGACAGTTGAAGTCTCTGGAAAATTCCTCCCGATTGGAGAGGGGGCCAATTACTCTGAATCGTCCTGGTGAGTGCACTCCAGTAGTGATACGTTGTCGCATTGCTTGAGGTCGATATTTGTTGCACCAGGTCTGTGCAGCACTGATCCAGAACAATTGTTGAGGGGTATAATCCAAACCTGGGAGAATAGGTTCAGTCTTCTTATTCTCCTTAACCCAGGATAAGTAAGCACCGTAAGCTTCCTTGATACCTCCGTTATCTGCTATATTTTCACCTTGTGTGTTGATACCATTGAGCTGTAGAAAGATTAAAGTTTATTAATTTTGGTTTGTTCAAAATAATTATTTTTGTTAAATATACAAAATTGAAAGGTCAAATAAACAAAGTCATTATTGAAACTATTGTTACTTCAAGGTCAAAATATATGAGTGGAAGTTTTGTGCAGAATATAGTGTGAATATTTGTGCAAATAGAATCTATTTAAATGATATTACAGATTCCTTCAAATTAATTTTTTCTCTGGCCAAACGAAACCTGCTTCTTTATCACATCTGTGTACTCTGTAAAAATATATAAATTTGTGCAAAAAAATAAAGTAAAATGAAAATAATGATGATGACATTAATGTTTCTATTTTAGTTCTACATTTTTTTAAACAATTCTATTTCATAACAGGTTCTAATCAACTTTTTTAACTCTTTGCCTTTGACTCTTGTGTTAATATTTCATTATATGATCATAAGGATTTGCACTCTTACATTGAGCCCAGTTTCTTCATCTGTGTAGTTGCCATATTGATGGACAATGCAACGAGCTTTTTCAAGGTATCGATCCTTTGTATTTGCTTCCCACCAATCAACCAGATTACCATCTTTATCAAATTGTCGACCCTAGAATAAAAATTAATTGTAATTAAAATGACATTATTAAAAAACAAATGTCTAAAAACAAATGTCTAAAAGCTTTAAAGAGAGAACTTACCTGATCATCAAATCCATGAGTTATTTCATGGCCAATAACAAAACCTATGGCTCCGTAATTCATATAGCGTGGGCGGTCATTACTGAAGAATATTCCTTGCAAAATCCCAGCGGGAAATTCTGTCAAAAAGTTCAAGAACATTAATTATTTTTTTTATTTAAATGAAAAGTCTGAAAAAATATAATGCTTTTTGATTTTTATGAAGTGGATACATAGAATACTTACGAATACTATTTTCTATTGAGCTATAAAATGCATTAACAATTGCTGGGCGACCATGTGTGATCCATTCAGTTTTGTTGACCTTTTGTCGCAGTCTTCCAAATGAATAGCCAGTGCCAAATTTTGTTAGGTTGAGAATACTTTCCATGTATAAGTCTTGATTAACTTCAAGCTGCAACAATTTCCTTTAGTAAGTAGACTTGGAAAATCATGAATTTGTTAATCAATTATTTTGACTAAAGGTTTTTAAAAGTTGTATTTGTGCATGATGTGTGTGGGTATGATGTGGGCACAGTGTGGTTGCCTGGCATGCGTGACCGAATGGTGTGTTTGTGCAAGTGTGAAAAGGTGCCTAGGGTGCATGTGTGCATCTGCAGTTATATGTCTGTACCTGCAGGGTATGGGTGCTCATGGTATGAGTGTGTGTGTGTGTATGTGCACGTGTGTGCATTTTTGCACATGTTCGCAGACATGCACACACATACATGCTCACTTGCGAATGGACACCACTGCTCATTTATATGAACCACCTGATCCTTTTTGGTATAATATACAGTTTTGGAAAGGATTCACTAGTAATCTGTGCCTTATATGTGTGTGTGTATGGCCATCCCCAGCACTTAATTTTTGAGGGGGACAATACAATTCATGAAGGGCAGATGACTGGCAACTCCTCTCCAAAACTGTATATTAGTAAGCCAAACGATACGGGGGGGGGGGGGGGTACAAATTTGGCATGAACATGCATGCTTGTGTGTGTGTGTGTGTGTATGGGTGGGGGGCATGTTTGTGCATGCAGTGTGTGTTCATGAGCATTTACATGTGGTGAGTGTGTGTCCATGCGTTATATGTCTTCTTGTTGTGTTTGTGTGGTCACTATAATTGGACTCACTATAATGAATTATATACTCACTTTGTCATAAAATTCCTCTAACTTTTGAATATCCAATAATTCATCAGGATAAGCAATATGGACAGACATTGCTTCAGCTTTCTCAAGAGCTCGTTTTCTAGAAAAGAAAAAACAAACTATTATTGAAAACTGATTGGAACTCCTTTATTTATTTAAATAACTTTCAATCCTCATATTTATATTGTGTGACAAGAAGTGACAGAAAATACATACAATTCTTATTTTTCTATATTCATGAGTATTCTATTAAAAATTATACAAGTGACACAAGGAATCTAGTAAGTTCTTTATTATTTTGACACAAATGAGAAGTTATGACAATATTTGCTGCATTTTCCTCAGAGAATGTGATCAAATCAGACCCTCAGGTTAGAATCAATACAATTTTAATATTTTGTTGTATATTAATGATCATTAGAAGTTGTTACAATTTTTTCTTTGCAATTATTAATGTGGTTAACAAAGAAACTGATGAATTATCTCTTAATTTTTTTGTTATTTTTCTTAAAAAGCTATCTGAAAGATGTGGAAACAAAGTTTATAGTTCTGACGTGAATAATTTAATGTAAGATATTTGGACAATAAAAAGTATTTTGAATGATATAATGTATAAAAAACTTCCTATGTATTTTTACAAATAAAAAATTATCTACCTTGTTTCTTCATCCATCCATTCCACTGTCTGTAATATTTTTTTAAATTCTGCTCTGATATTTTGTACCATCTCCATTGCATTTTTTTTGGCATCTTCATTGAAATATTTTTGCACATAGAGCGAACCGACAGAAATTGACAAACTGAAAAAGAGTATATTTTGAGTATTTGTTGACAAAACTTTGAAAGGAAATAAAAAAAGACTGTTATTGAATTCATTGTGTATAAAGCAATATTTACCCTCCAGCAACAATATCAATGCACTCTTTCCATCGTTGTTCTCTCTCAGTTTTGCCTGATAGAACAGTGAAGAAATTCAACTGACGTTTGCGTGCTTGTTCTGTCAAGTAAGTAATTGTTGCTCCAGCAGCTCGCCACATCACGTAGTTTGCTTGAACTCTGAAAATTGATTTTTATACTTATTATTTTTGCAGTATAGACGAATGTCTCAATAAATTCCAGTGTCTTTAACATTTATTAATATATTTATTGATCTAAGAAAAAATGTTATTGCCCTGTAAGATCTATTTCATGTTTTTCATTTCATTTTCAGTGCTCATTAAGTGCTTCATTGTTTATTTCTGTCATTTCAATGAAAAAATATTGCAAAATTTACTTGTATGTAATATTTATTTTCATTAGTAAAGTTGTAATAAAAATTCATTATTTATCCATTTTTCTAATATTGTATTTCAAAATAATTTACCGTTTTGGTGTAGTGGAAAGAAGTTTCTCCAGTCCTTTAATGAAAGATGGGACAGTTACCACAATTGGTTCATTGTTGCTGATTTCAATATCTCGAAGCAAAATGTTATTAAAATATTGTAGCCAAGGGACACTGGGGAATTTTGTTTGCATTTCTTGTATAGTCATTAAATTGTACAATTTAGAAACATTTCGTCGTTCTTCACTGGGTAATGATATCTAGGGGAAAAAAACATTATTTCATTTCTTTGATGCATAATAATTTCTCTCCTTTTCCACACATTTTCATTTATGCATAATTAAGTAATTGCTGGTACTTACATTGGCAAGTTTTATTTCAAACTCCAGTGATTCTTTTAACTCCTCTTCTGCAGTTTTACGATCAGCTCCCAAGAGAACAGCTATATCTACTTGATATTCATAATATGCTCTTACGAGTTTATCACTCATACCTTTAACTAAGTATTCCCTGCTTAGTCCAAGAGAGGCTTGGTCAATCTGGAAAAATATTTGGAAGATATTTGTATTTGTAATTTTTTTTGTTTTAAATCAAAATATAGTTTAATTATATTAATTTACATAGCAAACATATTTCATGACCTACATTTATAGATCTATAAGATGAATTTTTTGCATCTGTTGCTACTGAGAAGTCCATAAAATAGTCAACACTGTATCCCATTTTCCGGAATTTGTATACAGATTCTCGCCAGTCAAATTCACCTACTGGCCATGACGGACCATCCACAACTGGCCAGCCACCTAATTCTCTTAGAATATCTTGCAGTGGTTCCAATCCTCTACTTTCAATTAAAGCTGTAAAATCATGTAATATATCAATGACAATACATCAATTAAAAAAATCCATTAAAATTCATCATTCTTTTCTAGCTAGGGTCTTAAAAACTTTAACAACATATACATCAATCTATTAGCATAAATCTACACAATATTAATCTCTTATTACACAACTGCTTTTAATAAGTATCTTTGTATCTTGAAGGATTTGACTGGAGAAGTACACATACTTACTTTTATTCATACAAGCTCGATAAAGTTTTTTAACCAGTTTAAACGGCTTTGCTTCGTTTTCCTTTATAGGCTCTTCAACAATTGTACGCAACTTTTCTGTAAGTTGGTCTGATATAATACTGAAGGTATTCACTGTTGACTTATCATCAGGAATATTATTTGTCTTTACATAATTGCCACATGCAAAATTGTAAAAGTCATCACAGGGTTCTACTGATGTGTCCATGCTCATCAGCATTGTTGAAGCTGGAATGAGGATGGTAAGTGATAAGACATGAAAGCAAAAATAAATGGTAAGTCTATAATATGATAATATTCAAAAGACTGACTTTATAATCGTAACACATTGGGGAGTATTACCAGAAATGAATTATTCCTTTGGGTTGGAATGACTCAATAAATAAACTATAAATTACCAAAAAGATGTTGATAAGTTAAAATTTAAAAACACTTTTTGAGGGTTTCTGAATGCCTCCAACCACATATTTTAAAAATCTTTAAATTTCAAAGAACCCTCTCATTGTTAACTTTGGATCATTATTCATTACAAAAACCTCCAATTTTGATTTTTCAGTGATTATTTGAAGTCCATTTACATTGATTAATATTGTAATAAAACCTAGACAATATTCTCTTATTGTACAACTGCTTTTAATTCATGTCATTAATTAATTTTGAAATAGTATTTTTTTTTTGTCAACTAGGACTCAAATTCTTCTTCGAATATTATTAGGGTGGAATTGCAAGAAACACATCACACCCCACAGTGAGGACAGCAGTGGTTTAAAATTATGTACAATAGTCTTTATAATATTTCACATTTAAAATTCCATGGTCAATATTTAAAAACACAGAGGAAAAAATACAATTGACCAATAAGATTGGAAACCAATCAAATCATATACTACTTAAAAAAGTTTTAAATGTAGTTAGCGGAACCATATGACACACGTACCAGCATGAATGCATCCTGGTGTGAGGCAGAGATCATGTTTTAACACATCATTTTGCTTCACAATGCCACTAAGTGCAGCAGGCAGAGTTGGCAAAGAATCTGCAAAACAAGATAAAGAAGAAATTATACTTTTCTCTATATGTAGGCTTCTCTATGTGTATGAAATTCATCTATTACACTGTGCAATGCACAATTTCCACATTTTTCTCAGTTCTGGAAATTTTAAGAACTTTCTACGTACTATTTCACTCTACATTCTTTATGTATTACAATTAATATTATTTCATAAAAATTTTCTCCCTATTCCATTGTACAGGGAGGAAAATTATCCCCTCCACAATACAATCTCGAATTTTCGGTCGTACAATATGTGTTTTTAAGTTTTTTGTAAGCTGCAACTCTACACACAAATCAGATTAAGGTTCTAAAGCTGTTTGCACAAAGCAGGTTTGCTGCACTCAAGAGCTAGAGGTCTGTGTGCGAGAGCGGTGCAAGTAGTGGGAGGTAGGCAGCTTTGTGGGGAGAAGAGCAACTTGCTATGGCACAGTGGGCATGGCGCGGCGAGGCGCCTAGATTGAATGCCTGGGTTTCTAGAGCACTAATCCTACTGTGAAATTATTTGCCCACTTATTTAAATGGGTAATGTCCCGTATCTGTAGCTATAAGGGCCATAATTCACATTTTATGTCGTTCTTTGCACTGCTATAAATGACATATTTTTCTTTTCTGATTATTTTTCACAATATGCCCATAGTGATTCTTAAACACAATTTTAAAGCAGTGGAATTAAAAAAAAAAATTCTAAATATTATTCATTTACAATTTAATAATTATTTTTTTGCCAGGAAAGTTGATCTCCAAATGATAGCAAAACGAAGGAAATTTTGTGAGTACATTTAACGAGAATGCCCGATGTACTGGATATCGTTCAACTGTAATGTAGGATATATTTATAAATATTTAAGTTTACGCCTGTGTAGATTAATAAATGATTTATGGACAATATCATACTCCTAAAATTCGGTTAATATATTTTAAATATATCAACGTCGTAAACGATTATGAATAAATAAGTGTTCGTTGATTTACTATTAGAAATACTCTAGCGTACCCGTGCGAGAACTTTCGCATGTCAATCCCCCTTTTCCTATTCATTTTCCTCTCTTTTCCATTAAGAAGAAAAATTGGTAATGAAACGTGTTTATTTGTTTAAAAAATGTATAAAAGTAACGTCGTACTTAAACAATATCAAGCGAAAATAAAAACAATGCAATTGACATTTGAAAAAGAATTCAATAAAGGTTTATTCAGTATTATAGAGAAACGTTCTTCAAACAATTCACAGTTCCTTAAAAACATTTGAAGTTTCTTGACAGCTAGGTTTTCGCTTGCCTTGATAGTTACAAAATATTAGATAGGATTTTTACTCTTGAGAAAGCCAAGTAAAGTTTTGCATGTGAAAATACAAGATCGCGCAAGTACAATTCTACTTCTTGCAATATTATTTAACTTTGCTGGATTTGTTATGAGGATAGATGGGGAATAGAGGGGGTTTTGGAGGGGCAGGACGCTTGCTGGGATGTGAAAATCGAAAAATTATTTGTTTACTAAAAAATATTGTAATATTTTCTGCGTTCTTACATACCCCAAGAAAAGTAATTCCGAGTTAAAAAATAATAAAATTAATCTTTTCACCTTTGAGTGATAAATACCATTTATTACCATTAGAAACAATTCTGTACGCTAGACTTCATTTCAGTACACGAGAATATTGCTCAAACGGTGTTTACGTATTGAATATCTTAGCAAACCGACACCATAAGTTTAATATCAAACGGTGCATTATTTACAATATGAGTTTACAACTGAGCATTGATGTACAACTTCCAGATACCACCATTTAAATCGTGCGTCTGGATTGTGATCGTTGGCAGTTGTCGTATGACTTGCGTTATAATTTTTACAATTTTAAATTTTGTTGTTTTTAAAATTAATATACTATTGTAGGCTAGGCTTTGATTTTTGTTGTTCATTTATTTCAAGTTATTTTACTTTAGTTAATTTAAAATGTTTGTTTTTTGTGTTGTGTCTTAGCACAAGTTTTCCCCTATTATGTCCGCGTACCCGTACGAATTCATTCTAAGAGGGAAAGTTGTTAACGAAACGTATTTATTTGTTTAAAAATGTATAAAGGTAACTTCTATTGTTATAACACAATATCAAATAAAAAATTCAATTGATGTGGAAAATATATTTTGACTAAAGATTTATTTAGTATTATTGAGAGATTTCTTGGACAATTCACAACACTCCCTTAAAAATATTTGAAGTAATTATTCCATATTCTTTGACAATTACCTTCTTATCTTTTCGTGAGATTCACAAAAATAATAAAAATATCTTTTTATTCTTGAGAAAGCTACGTGACTGAACACGCTGACTTGAAAGTTTCACCGAATCACTGCTGATAACGAAAATACTAGGAGAGATTGCAGGTATGCCACAAACGAAACCTTACAAGACACCTCTTCACTCTGCACTGTACTCTCACATCCCTCCACGATTAGGTACCCAGCACTTGTAGACCTTGGCAAAACGTGAAATGAATGTTTTCAATACACGCACAAGAAAAATCTTCATTGGCATCAAGCAACTATTAATAGCTATAGTTGTTGCTGCGAACCTTGAATTAAAAATTATGCAAATAAACCTCGTCAGTGTGCGCAAATCAAGGTGTACACAGAAAGCGTAAATAGTATCAGAGGAATCTAAGCCTACTAAGTGTGACGTCAGAAAAATAGCCACCATCACCAAAGGTTGAAATTTAGGTGGCATTGGTAGTATTGATGTGTCGAATAAGTAAAAATTTAACAGAATGTCCAAGAATATTTCATCCTACGTATTACGATATGAGGATCGTTACTTTGACCCCTTCGCCCTCTATAGTTGAGTGTTTTTTTGTTGTTGTTATTTAAGGTCGCATCAACTACTAGGTCATTAGCGACCACTATTGCTTGTAACGAGAGGAGATGTTTCATTCTCCAAAGTCAATGATATTGATTTTAATCGTTTTATTGTACTCAAATGTCAATTAGATTTTTCACTGCCAAATGTCAAAAGTATTACTTGATCGCGTCAAATATATCGTCTTTATTATGTCTTTGTTTAGGAAGATGTCGATCCTTTAGTTTATTCTTGAACCTAAAGTACTGACGCACCTTAATGTCCCTGAAAGATCAGAAGACCCCTGGAGTTATACTCCCTTGTAAGTCACAGGAACGAAATGCATTACAAAGGTATGATCTCTCCTGCGTTTTCACGTCCCCTCAGAAATAATTAATTTTGTGATTTTGACGTGTCCTTGTATCATTTTCCACACTGAATTCTGCAGAAAGACCTCCACCACCAGACCTGCATTAAACGTAACTACTCATATTTATTTTGAAATGGAAGCACTGGCTAATGAAATGCAAATAAGAGACAAAAAAGAAATAAGAAAAAACATGTTAGTTTACGAGAATTATTTAGTTATGACTCAGATGTTCATGATGAACATCATAATCCCTGATCTTTTTCTTAAACTATCACACTTCGTTGAGGATATCCTCAAACTATATTAAAGCTATTGTTTATGAATGTCACGCATCTGGTTTTTTCAGTCTCATAATTGCTTGAAATCATTAATGTTTCACCGTTTCCTGTTACCATAAGAACTTGAATCGTAAAGGATGTTCCTTTTGCCATGTTGTGACTTCTTTTGATCCACTGTCTGGCGCCCTGCCGACACGATTCCTACCGCTCAAAGGCCAACGCTCTGAAGACAAATGAAGCGGTGCAATTGTTACCACACTATTTGTTGCAGAGCATACTCTTTATTCTTGCATGATCTTATCTCTTGCTACTGCAGTCCGGTGTAAGGAAATGCAAATATTCCCTGATATGGTCACTGAACGCGTTATATAACTGTAAAATTTCCGCAGGGGTAAGATGGAGAAAATACAGCCTCCCAAATTAATGTTAAATTCCGCTTTGTCGAAGGTTTAATCTTTCGGTTTATCGTCCATTTAGGTCGCCTAGACAATCTACATTTTAGTGTGTTGAACACGTACGTTGTAAAATGTGTCCCATGGCTGTAATGCCATAGGTCGCAAACACACTTCTAAAGATTTAAATTTACGTAATAGTATGTTTGTATTAATTCGTCTCTGTATCGTGACAGTTCCACATGAGAATGCCGAAGCAATTTTCATTTAGCAATCTATCTCTTAGCTGCAAAAGAATAGGACAACGGTTGTTACCTATAACAATAGAATATTACAACACCGTCTAAAATTTTTGATAATGATCATAAATGGACACCTATTTTTGTTCGTATTGTTGCTGAGGCATGTGTGGATGTGTCGATCATGGCGCAGTAATATGATATCTTGAAAGTACTTTAACAACTATAATTCAGTAATTCAAAGTGGAATAGTACAGATTCAGGAATGAATGTGGTTTAATTAATTTAAGCTCTACGTATAGTGTTCGCATTCGTGGGTTTCAGATTAAACATAATAAGGTCCTTATCATAACATTGTTAAAACAAGAATGTTCTGACGACATATTATGGACTATTGGGTTTCTGACTCCAATAAAGGACATAAATTGTAATATTGAAATATCCGTAAGGGATGCGTCAAGTATTGTTGTGCAATAGCATCGTCAGACATAGGGGATTCAGAGACTGCAAGGAAATAAAATTAGCATCCCAAAACAATTTTCAGAAAGCTGTTGTATTACTGGAATCAATCAGTTTCCCCGCGCAAAATAATAAAAAATAAATCAAAATCCACTTTAATCAGTTTCCGCTTAATGTAAGACACGCGTTGTTTTCCTTTATTTCTCAGCGCGTGAAGCGTGTTTAAAACTAAACGCACGTCGTATTTTAAAACAGGATGCAGCTGCAACTCCTCTTTCCTGAGAACTTGCCTTCCGTTTCGGGCAGTAGGGTCGTAATCGCTTTTCAGTCGGTGTCGACTCGGCCCTCGCGTGCACGCCCGCGCGCGCTGGCGTCCTTCCTTTTTCCTGCAGGGAAAGAAGAAAAAAAAAAAAAAACT